AGGAAGCTGCTAATGCATGCTGGCTGGTGTGATTGGAAGAGAGACCAAGGCAGACACATGGTAAAGTTGGTGGGCAGCTCTTGTTTTGTCTGATCGAAACAGCACTCGCCCCTCCAGCTTCTTGGAAATAACGTCCCCCTGAACCTTTAGCCGCAAAAATGAAATGGAAGCTGCCATCTTATCTATGCCTTTCCCATGGAAACCACCGGGGATGGGCATCTGATACAAACGTAGCCAATCGGAGCCATTCTCTGGGAATTTTGACCTTGAGACCAGAAATGAATGGGTCTCAGTCCCTTTCTGATGACAAAGATGTGTTATGTGAGTCTGAGAGCTCTGTCACCACTCAGAGATTTGAGAGTCAGAGAGAGGAAATTCTAGCTCAGTCCACACCCTCGTCTCCCCACACTCTGAGGGCTCAACCACCCCCTTGCCTGTGCCACACGGTGAACAATACCCACCACCCACCTTTTAGCTAAGCTAGTCTGAGTTGAACTTTTGTTATTTGTAAACAAAAAAGTCTTGACTTTTGCAGTAAAACACATGTCTCCCCTCCATCATTCAAATTTTGATCACAATTCTCTAAAATACCTTTGGGTTATTTTAGGGGCACTGGGTCCATCATTTCTTACATATGAGAAACAAACAAACAAGGAAATCTGTCCTCATGTTTCAGTGTCAGACTCAGGAACTCCAGGCTCTATGTAGGGACAAGGCTTTAGGGCTGTCTTCAGAGAGGCATAGACTCGTCTCCATCAGTGGTGCAGTGAGTTATATTGCTGCTCAAGACACTTTCCCGCCTGCTCCTTTGTGATTCAGATGAGGAGAAAGTGACAGGGACAGAACGACCACACAGGACAGCACGGAATGACAGTTGGTGAAGATATCTTCTGAACTTCTCTCCAGCAAATGCGTAGATGAAAGGGTTGAGGCAACAGTGGGTAAATGCGATCGTCTCGGTCACACTGAGGGCCAATTTCAGATGCCTCTTCATGTCACAATTGGGAAAGAAGTTATAGAGACTGAGCGTCTCTAAGAAAACCATAATGTGATAGGGTGTCCAGAAGAAGAAAAACACGATGACCACCAAAAAGATGAGTTTAATGGCTTTAGCTTTCTTGTGGTTCTTGCAGGAAAACAGTGTCTGGATAATTCTCAAGTAACAGTAACTCATAATGAGCAGGGGCAGCAGGAAGCCAAGAATATTCGCTTCCATGTTGCAGAGCACAGGCCAGATATCCTGCAGGACCTCAGGGTAGTTCAGTTCCGGAACATTTTCCTCATGTTTGGTGAACATGAACTGGGGCGCTGACACCAAGATGGCAGCTGCCCAGATGCCTAAGCTGATGGTGACGCCATGCTATGCTGTCCGGTTGTTCATGGAGTTGGCGGCCAGGACGATGGCCCGGTACCTATCGATGCTGATGATGGTGATGAAGAATATGCCTCCAAAGAAACCAATGAAGAAGAAGGCAGTAGTGAGTTTGCACACCGCGTTGTTAAAGCCATGTTCCCTTATCAGATAGTGAATCCAGAAAGGCAAGGTGGCTACAAAGAGCAGATCGGACAAGGCCAAGTTCAGGAGGTAGATGTCGGTGATACTCTTGGGTTTCTGGCTGTGGGTGAGGGCCAACACCACCAGCAAATTTCCCACCATGCCGCAGACAAAG